TTGTTCACTTAAATTAGTGATGAGCTCCGGGTTTGGACATTTGGATCGCGATGAGTATTGTTTATTTCGCCAGCTTTAGTATATTCACTGCAAAATTACCAGGATTTGAGGTGTGCTGGTCAGGTAAATTGTAACCTATCATTGTTCGAGGTCCGCACTATAATTCACCACGGATTTGGATTAGAATAATCCCCGAGAACATTCGGCCTCGGCCTCTGAGAACGCGTGTGACGCCACGTCGGTCCAGAAATAATGGTACGAATAAAGCCGGTTTGTTCTCCGTTGTCACATATACGACACACACACACACATAAATGGACTTCCAGGTTTGACGGGGAGACAGTGTTTGCTTTCTGTCCCCATCGTGTCTCGTTCGTAATGTTCCACTTGAGCGACGTTGGACTGAAACACGGTAACATTTTTCCCACTCCTGGCGAAAAGACATTTACATCATTAAGGGGGTTAAATTTTTTATCAGTCACCAGAAAAATGTCCACAGGCTGCTTTGTTCCTCTCATTATCGACCAGCATTGCCATGACTTATTCTCTCGAGAGGGATTGTATGTGTTTACCAGTCCGAGTTCTCGTATATTCAGTCACGAGCGCCATTTTGAGTTTTCCGTAATCGGACGCACAGAATCACTGTTGTCAGTTTGGCCCAACGGGTTATTTCGCAGACTTTTATCGGATATTCCAAGTCGAAGGAAGAAGGCAATAAAATAAGTTTGACTTAAATTCGTGCCCTGCAAACCCGAGTTGTTTAGACTCAGAGCTTTGGAATTTGGGGTTCGTTGAGGTGTGTGAGTGGATTAGTTTGTGATGGATAATCCTACATATGGAAAATCGATTGCGATCACTGTATTGCTGGCTTCTGGAAATCGAGAAACCATTCTCTGTTTGCTTATTAGTAATTTTTTTGACTGATGCAGCAAGAACCCGACCGACGGACTAATGCGTAACGCTTCAGAAAAGTGACCGAATAGTAGACCCAACTCATAGTGCCACCGAGGTTAGAGGTTATTATTGGTATTCGTATTTCCACTGATATAGAACGTGTGCACTACACCTTCAAATTCCCGCTTTCTGCAGTGTAGGCTGAATGTTCAAGCTAATCATGTGACTGGAACGGACTGCCTGCGTATGTGGTCAAAGTGTCTGTGTGACCGAACGCTTACAACTCTGACAAGTGGATGCTGGTACTCCTAATTTGTCCTGAAGTTAGTCACAGCACTCAGATTTATTCTGTCGAGTATAGATTGGACAACTCACCACTCTCATTTAAAAGACGATGTTCAGATTGACCAAATCAAGTCCAAGATACCTTCAACCAAAGACTTTTGGTACAACAAGGAGTATCACTCTCCAGCAGAGAAAGAAAATGGCACTGTGCTCATCAGTTTCCAAAGTTCGCCGAGGTGCAGCAATGTTACTTACTTTTTGATGAGTAGTATCCAATGCATCTTCATTTAAACTCTATAGTACTGATCTAACTTATTTAGTCACCATTCTAACCGCATGAAGATAACTGAGCTACTCGCACAGACTGCTGGTTTTGACCAGGAGCTGAGTAAAAATTAACAAGTCTAAAGTGCCACAATCGTTGTTATATCGGTTTGGAGGCAAGCTGCAATCTCAGATGGAAGCAATGTCAGTTCGACCGGGGTGGAGGGGGGCGGGGTGCGCGGTGAAGAAAGGGCGAGTACAGTTTCGCCGTTGTGCTTCAGTTAAGACCATGAGTTTTCTCACAGTTTTCTCACACTGGTTGAGGAAGTACGGACAACGATCACTATGGCGCAAATATTGAGGGTTGTAAATCAGTGCGAATTCACCAGGGTGAATGATCAAATGTGTCTCCGGTCGGAACCATAACTTCGTGTCTGTGATAGATACAGACACAATCGCGGGTCGGGTGTTGTGTTCGTTTAGTATTCACACGAAGCACACCCGTTTCTAAATTGCTTTCCCATGGGAGAGAAACAAGGAGAACTATGGTCGGCGTAACACACTTGAATCTCAGTTGAAAAGTGAATGTGGCGTGACAACGGGAGCTGAGTAAATCACCTACTTCTGATCCACTGGGGAGACCACGTGTGTTAAAGCAAAAGGAGACAAATTACCTCAGCACGTGCCGACCGCGGCTGTTCAAGTCAAGTCTGAAAGGATGAATCAGAGGGTAGCAACGATCACGGTCAACAGTTGACCAATTCATTACAGATTCAGACCAATATACGTGACGTGCCGCTTCAGAATGTGTTGAAGTAAACATTTAGACCACAGAACATTACGAATGATCCTTCCAGCACACATTAAAAAAACTGGGTAAACAAGACCGTACACTTGGTGACGCTGATAGATAGAGATCTCTTAGGATGGTATACTTATTTAAAGATTAAGAGAAGCACAAGTGAACCCGGAGAAATTTTCTTTCGGGTGTATTTTTTATTGATACGGAAGTGACCGTACTGACGACGACAACTACAACCATAAATAATACACGACGCGATTATTGCGGGTCTGACTGAACACAAAACCGGCGATTTCCAGCTTGATGACTCACGTCGCAACTCGTGACAAAAAGCACTGACCCTATACAGGCACCGGAGCAAAGAGTGGAAGCAAACATGCAGGAGCTCTTTTAAACCTGTCGGTTGAGGTTTCTGGCTTCATGTCTTGTTTCTTCATGTGTTTTGTGTGAATCTCTCTTTGGGAGTGGCCGACTGAATCACGCACCCAGTGCGACAGGCACAACGTGGATCGGATGAAAGGTTCTTTTCTAAAAGCCGAGGTTCCGGAAATACAAGCAGTATCGAACGACTACATTTTGACGGTTGCGCGTTAGGCGGCCTCTACACATTTACGCTTCAGGCAGAACGGGATCCAAAGCTGCGAAAAGCCGACCCGAATCACTCGCGTTAAGTCAAGCAACCACAAAAGCTGTTACATCCGGATATTGAGATACAGTTTCGTTGTGATGGTGGTTTTAAGCATAGAGTCTGTTTGTATGTCACTGTTTTCCACCCTTATGATAGGTAGCTCGTTTGTGCAATCTTTCGTGGAACCACAGATTCGGGAAATATCCTGAGAAGTGGCATCCGCGGTGCCACTGAAACTTTTCTCTTATTCGACATTCAGTATTAAGACAACCGTGGGTAGAATATTTTACTGACCTCTACTTAATACCCCATGGAGCACCCAGTACAGAGTTATCATCACTTGTGGGGCCATGGGTAACTATTATTCATTCTTATCACCACCTATCTCATTCACTAAACTATAACTATCGCATAGATGTAACCAATGTGTGAAAAGATGCGACGGGCTGAGCAATGATACGATACAGAAAAGAACCTATGAGACGAAGTTGAGTAGCGAAGCGAGAAACCGCAGGTAACAGATTGTTGACATTGGTATTGTGGTTTGAATGTACTGATCAGTCAGGGAATGGCAGAGATAAAGTATGATTTTTGTTAGCTAGTGAGTAGATTCCTACCATTCAGGTGAAATATTGTTACTTCTTTCACCATTGTTACCATTATTAAGTATCTTGTCAAGTGTGCATTTCAATTTCAGAAACACGTA